TTGTTGTTGTTGTTGTTGTTGTTGTTATTCAAGAACTATGTGTATTAGAAAATTGTCAGCACTGGGAATAAAATAAGATAGAAAGGAGGGGCTGCAGGGGGCCCTGAGAGGCCTTCTAACCCATCCCCACACCCTATGCAGGAATCCACCAGTCCTTACCTTATGAGTGCAAGGGAGACCACAATTTCCATTGCTAAGCAAGGCAATTGCCAGTGAGTCACACTGGGTTCTGTGATCTTGTTGTGTCTGGGTGGTTAAATGGATCACTCGACTCCTTAAGTATATTATGCGATCTCTGATCGAACAAACACAACTTCCCTCTTCACTTTGTTGAATCCAAACCGGCTGTGAAGGTTGCAAAGGACAATCACCTGACCTTGGGAGGTGCCAATCATCCTATCATACCTGTAGCCGAGAGCTTGAATTTTTGATCAGGTGACTGTGGGGACTGCTGCAACAATCCTAAATGCAAGGACTTATTGTAAGTCCCTTTTTCAGCCCTGTTGTAAACCTCGAGTAGCTGCTAAATTAAGGGTTGCAAGTTGAGAACCGTGGCATCTCTCTGAAGAGTCCCAAAGGTGCATTATCCAAAAGGCAACTGGACTTTCTTGGTTTTTATTTTTCCTTGGAAATGTTTTAATTTATTTATTATTTTATTTATTTTCTCTTTTTCTCTTCTTTTATTATTTTAGTTATTATTTTGTTCACTTTTTATTTCATTATTGTATTTACTTTTTCTTACTTTTACTTTATTTATTTTAATCTTGTTTTTATTTTATTATTTTATTTACTTTTTCTTAGTTTTATTTTATTTTCCAGGTTTTATTTTATTGATTTATTTTTCACTTTGTTTATTTTCATTTTTTTTATTTTGTTTCTTTACTTTATTTTGTTTCATTGTATTTTTCATTTTACCATTTTACTTTGCCTTGTTTGTTTATTATTTATTTTACTTTTATTTATTTAGTTAGTTTAATTCTATCTATCTATTATTTCATTTCATTTTATTTATATCCCACCTGAATTCGGAAGCTGAAAGGCATCTTTTCCTCTCAGTTAGCCAGGAAATCCGCCCTTTCCCCCTCGTCAAACTTCCCAAGCCTCTCTTGGTCTGCCCACCACCCAAGAAACCAAGCCAGGGAACTGCCCCCCCTCCTGCATGCCTGGGGCCCCCACCCACCTTTCAGCTCCAGCAGCTGGTCGTGGTATTTCTTGCGAAGCTGCACCTCCCGCTGGTAGCGCTCCTGCAGACAGCGGCTGCTCTGCGCCACTTCCCTGATCACCGAAAACATCTGGAGGGGAGGGGGAAGAGTGAGGGGGGAGAACAGCCCCCCCCAGAAGCCCCCAACCTGCGGGGAGCCCCCTCCTAAGCATGCCCTGAGGCCCTTCCTGACGTTATATGAGGCTCTGTTGAGACCAGCTGCCAAAGGGAGGCATCCCCCGGCACGGGGGTCTCCAACCTTGGCCACTTTTAAGACCACTGGACTTCAACTCCCAGAATCCCCCAGGCAGCCTCACCTGCACCTTGGCTTCCTCGATGGCAGCTTTGTAACACTGGGCAAAACTCCCCACTTCTCCCCGAAAGCTCCGGAAATCCAACCGCAGCCCCTGGAGGAAGGGGCGGAGGGTGTGCAGATGCTGCTTCATTCCTGGAAGGTTGGGGGGGGGACAAAATGGGGGGAGGGGGAGAAGAGGCCAGATTGAGCCGCCAGCCTGCCGTTGCTCCAAGGAGGAAATTGGTTCCTCGCAAGATGCTCGCAAGAGCCCTCCTTTCCTGGGGGGGGGAGGAATCTACCCTCCCTGTGGCCTGATGCACCCCCCGACTTCCTCCACCTAGTACCTGCCAGCTGCTGGCACAGGGGCCGGGCACGCTCCTCGGACCCCCGGCAAGCCTCCTGCACCGCCTCCTCCTTCTGCTCCTCCAGCCGATGGATCTCCTGCAGCAGCTCCTGGCGCAGCCCCGTGACCTCCTTCTCGTAGGCAGAGATCTGTCAGGGAGAGAGGGCCCTTTAGGAGGGGCAGGGGGCCTCTGCCAGGGGCCACCCTCTGCCTTTAAGATGGCTGGTGAAGCCCCTCCCTCAAGTTCTTCCTTCTAAATCAGGGGTCCCCAACCTTGGCAACTTTTACACCTTCTGGATTTCAGCTGAATTCTGGGAGTTGGAAGTGCACAAGTCTTAAAGTCGCCAAGGTTGGGGACTGTTCTGGATCAGCCAGTTAGATGGGTCTGTATGTTAGAATGTTTGACACCATGTTTTGCCTATCTTAGTCACTAGTTAGTTAGCAATGAGAATTGCATGCCTCAATGCTACGTTTTTTGCCTATTTCAGGTAGATAGTAGTGGAAATTATTATTTCCAAGCGGGGAGTGTTCTGGATCAGCCAGTTAGATGGGTCTGTATGTTAGAATGTTTGGCATTTATAAGGTTAAGCGCTGTCTCCTTAAGAGATGGCTTCTGGGTAATGTAGTTTAGCTATTCAGTAAATCCCATGTTAACAGGTCAGTAGGAGGGGCTACTAAGTTCATCACAGGATCAGGATATGTGAAGGAATTATTGATGTTTTACTGTTCTGAAACCTGAATCAAGATGCTTTTGTAATTCAAGCACAGACAGATGACTCAATAAAGATGATTGTAAAGCAGACATTTATTCAGGAATACTGCTGAACTCAATGTTTCTTGTAGTTTCTTCTGGATATTGCATATCTGTTCATCTTTATAGGTAAAAAATCAATAATTCCTTCACATCAACTTCTAACGTGGGTTAAGATCGTGTGTGTCTTCCGGTGAACTCATGCTTATCTCAGACAAAGACATTCCAAACTGGTACGTAGTCAGGATATCCTGTGATGAAGTTAGTAGCCCCTCCTACTGACCTGTTAACATGGGATTTACTGAATAGCTAAACTACATTACCCATAAGCCATCTCTTAAGGAGACAGCGCCTAACCTTATAAATGCCAAACATTCTAATATACAGACCCATCTAACTGGCTGATCCAGAACAGGGACCCTTGCTCTAAAACAGGGGTCCCCAACCTGTGGGCCACAGCCCACTAGCGAGCCGCGAGGGGTTTGCAACCGGGCTGCAGAAATGTCTGGCGAGTGCGCAACAGCCTTCCTCGCTTGTGCTAGCAGCGGACGAGTGGGTGCGCTCCGTTTGTGTGAGCGGCTGGCGTGTGTTACACACCACGCTAGGAAACAGAGCTGCATGTGCGCTTGCCGGCAACTCGCGCAGGACCCTCACCCCTCTTCCCCTGCTCCCCTCGGTCCACAAAGCCAGAAAGGTTGGGGAACCCCAAATTCTGTAGCTAAGTTAGACGGTTGCTAAGTGAGTCTTGCCCCATTCTACGACCTTCCTGCCGTTGTTAAGCTAATCACAAGGTCCTTAAATGAATCTGCCTTCCCCATTGACTGTGCTTGTCAGAAAGTTGCAAAAGGGGATGACGTGACTCCTGGGGACGCTGCAACAGTCATAAGTACATGCCAGTTGCTGAGTGTCTGAATTTTGATCACGTGACCCTGGGGATTCTGCAGTGGTCGTAAGTGTGAAACACGGTCATGAGTCGCTTTTCTCAGTGCTGTTGTAACTTCAAATGACATGGGTGGTTGTAAGTCAAGGGCTACTTGTAGTGACCCCACAGCACACACACACACACACATACCGGGAACAGGCCGTCCCCTTTGTATTTGAGCCTGTCCAGGGAAGGAGAGGCCGCCAGCTGCCCTTTCCTTTAGGGAGGGCCCTGCAGATGTCGAGGTAAGCCCCTCCCCTGGGGCAGAGCATCGCCCGAGACCCCCAGCTTACCTTGTGCCGGAGGGCAGCGGCTGCCCCCTCCGAACTCTGCAGCTGCTCTGCCAGCTGTTGGCACCGCTGGGCCTGGGAGGACAGCTGCTGCATCAGGAGCCGGTTCTGCTCCTCCGCCTGGGCCAAAGCCTGCAGCTCCTGCGGGGGGTCCGCCGGCAGTCCCTTGGCCGGGCCCTGGGGGGGGAAGGTTGGCACAGCGCATAAGAAGGGGATCGATGACCCTCAGACCCCCTCAGCACCTGCAAGGGACAGCCCCTCCCCTCAGCTGCCACCCACCCAACACGTCAGATTGGGGGCTCCAGACTTCCCCACTGGCACGTCTCTGCCGTTTTTCAGTGGGGAGGGCTTTCCACTCAGGATTCCCTGGAGCTCCCTCCCCCAGCCAGCTCTGGGCCTGCTCAGCTTTCCTGTGATTAACCAGGGGGTGGCTGAGTGGGTTGGTTATCTATCTATCTATCCATCTATCATCCATTCATCTCTGTCTGTCTGTCTGTCCGTCCGTCCACCTACCTACCTACCTCTATCATCTATGGTATCTATCTATCCATTTATCATCTCTCTATATCATCTGTCTGTCTGTCTGTCTGTCTGTCTGTTGTCTGTCTATCTATCTATCTATCTATCTATCTATCTATCTATCTATCTATCTATCTATCTATCTATCTATCTATCTATCTATCTATTTTTCAAAATTTGGATTGCTAACAAAAAATTAAGGGAGTACTGGGATAGCTATTTCAAACTTTATTTAGTTTTCATCAGCCAGACATAACCTTCTGAGATTCGAACCTGGGCTGTCTGCATGTTAAGCAGACAGCCCATATTTGGGCCGACAGGGTGCATCAAAGTAAAAAAGCATCTATCTATCTATCTATCTATCTATCTATCTATCTATCTATCTATCTATCTATCTATCTATCTATCTATCTATCTACGGTATCTATCTGTCATCTATCTATCCATCTATCATCTGCCTGCCTGCCTGCCTGCCTGCCTGCCTGCCTGCCTGCCTGCCTGCCTGCCTGTCTGTTGTCTGTCTGTCTGTCTGTCTGTCTATCTACGGTATCTATCTGTCATCTATCTATCCATCTATCATCTATCATCTGTCTGTCTGTCTGTCTGTCTGTCTGTCTGTCTGTCTGTCTATCTATCTATCTATCTATCTATCTATCTATCTATCTATCTATCTATCTATCTATCTATCTATCTATCTAT